CACCCATTTTGCATAATATGTCATGAGTTCCTTGTTTTTCGGAATAGTATTCCATTGTGTGAATATACCACAGCTTGTCTAGCCATTCGTTTGTTGATGGGCACTTGGGTTGTTTCCAGCTCTTTGCTATTGCTAACAAAGCTGCAATAAACATGGGTGTGCATATATCTGCTTGGATGATGGTTATGGTTTCTTTAGGGTAAATTCCCAATAGTGGAACTGCTGGCTCAAATGGTATTTATATTTCCAACTTTTTGAGAAAGCACCATACAGCCTTCCATAGTGGTTCCACCATTTTACACTCCCACCAACAGTGACTAAGGGTTCCAGTTTCTCCACAACCTCGCCAGCATTTGATGTCTACTGTTCTGTTAAATTTTGCTATTCTTACTGAGAAAGTAGGTCTTTTTTTCGTTTTATGATTTTGAGTTCTCTTTCACATTTTTCTCCCACTCTGTCCAGGATCTTCTATTATAATGTCTTCAGAATTGCTGGAAAGTTACTAGTTCTTCTGGTCTCGGGATCATGGAGGCGGAGGTTCATGTCTTCTGGGCTAATCGTTTCCACACCTCTTTGATTCTTCTCTGCTCCTCTTTCCTTTAAATGTTATTGCTAGGTGCTGTCTCTAGTCAACTCTGACTCATAGTGGCTCTATGCACAACAGATCTGAACCATGCCTTATTCTGAGCTATCCTTATGATCTCTGAAAATCTCTAGTCCACTGGTCATTGTGTCAATCTATTTTGTTGAGGGTCTTACTTTCTCTGACCCTCCACCTTTCCTAGCATGATGTCTTTATACAACGGTCCCAGATGACAGCATGTCCAAAGTGTGTGTCAGTTTCGCCCTCCTTGGCCCTAAGAAGCACGTCAGTTGTTCCTCCATGACAGACTTGTTCGTTCTTTTGGTTTTCCATGGAATAGTCAGCCCTCTTTCTCTCTTTTTTTTTAAACCATTACATAGTTTCAAAATATTTCCTTTAAAGATAGTTATTATAGAAATTTCTCAAAATTTAAATGTTTAAATAGATTAAAAAATTGTTTAAAGTCCTCAGAATGTCTATGAGGATAGTGAAGGGCCTGGAAGGGTTTCATTCTGTTGTATATATGGGATTGCTTTGAGTTAGAGGGTTTTTTCCTTTATCTAATAAACTTTTTAAATTGTGATTTTAATGGAAGTTCACAGAAAAGTTAGAATTTCTCACATTCATTGTTGCACATTTTACCCTCCTCCCTCATCATTGCACAATTATCTCCCCTGACCCAGTCCTCTTTCCAATGTACCTTTTATTCTGGGCTGCAGTTGTATGTACAATGCCTAATCACGTATTCCTTTGAAACAGTTCTTTCCTTCATCTGTTCCAATGTAGTGTTCATTAATTATCCCCTCTTTCCTTAGTTTCCTCCAACCCTGATATAAGCCCTGTTTTATAACAGTGGTGTTATGCAGTGTCCTTTTGTAACTGAGCTATTTCACTCAGTATGTCCTTGAAGGTTACCTTTGTTGTGTAATATTTAATGAGCTTCTTGATTTTTTTCAGTGATCGCGCTGCGTAGTATTCCACTGGGTGAATATACCAGTTTTTCTATCCATTCATTCATTTGTTGATGAACTCAGAACTCTTTTTCAACATCACTATTCAGTGGGAAGACCAAGGGTTTCACCTTAGATGTTGCTCATAAACTTTTAAGACCCCAGCTGCTACTCAGCAAAATAGGATGAAGAACACGATCTTCGTGGACTATGTTATGCCAGTTGACTCTGATGATCCCCAAGACTATGATCCTATGACTCCGAGCATGTAGATGTATTCCCTCAAGGTGCTTGGTTATAGTTAAGAAGTTCTTTTATATTTGCCCTCTGTATGCTCTATTATATGCTTAGATATGTACAGTCAATACACTTGCACAAATACCATCTGTCTAACCTACACATGCTTGCAAGTATATACCATTCACCTTGCCACACCTGTTCAGCTTGTGTGGCTAAGGATTTCCTTGTTGACTATGGTTATTACTATTATTGTAGGGTTATCTCCACGGTAATGTTACCTCTGTCCACCTTAACTCTTGTGCTCCTCCCAGTCTTTGTTTGCCTTGATCATTCTGTGCTGATGGCCCCCTTATTATATATTATCTCTTCCTTCTCCCAGGTTATGAGTTCTAGACATTTTTCCTCTCAAAAATAATCTACAATTCTGGATGTAGCAAGCCAGGAACCCTTAGACACTCTTGGTGGGATTGTAAAGTGGTACAGCCACTCTGGAAGTAAGTTTGGCATTTCCTCAGAAAGCTAAACATAGAAATTCCATATGACCCAGGTATTCTACTGTTTGGAATATACCCCAAGAAAATGAGAACTGAGGCACAAATGGAGACTTGTACACCAGTGTTCACAGCAGTGTTACCATTGCAAGAACTTGGAAATATTCATCCAAATGTCCAACCACAATTGAATGGAATGAGAAACTGTGGTTCATTCACAAAACGGCATACTATGCAGCACACATGAGTAATGAATTTTGTAAATCACAGCCTAACTTGGGAAGGACTGGAGACATTATGTTGAGTGAACTAACTCAGTCCCATAAGGACAAATATTGCGTAAGGCCATTATTGAAATTGTGTATGAGGATCCAAGGGGGGGAGCAGAGGGGTGAGGATGGGGGGAATAATCATAGGGTCTCACAATTTGATAGGTGGAGAAGTGGGGGGTGAAAGAAATAAGATCCAGTGTGAAAAACAATATATACGAATTTTGTAAATATACCAGTATAAAATTTTTTAAAAGGGGGAAAATAATCTACAATTCTAACAGCTCTGATTTAAGAGAAAAATCTAAGTTCTGACACCCATACAGAGCCCTTACAGTGCAATGGTTCCATGCCTGACTGCTAATCAAGAATACTGGTTTGAATCCACCCAGCCGCTCCACAGGAGGGAAAGCTGGCACTCTGCCAATGACTACAGCCAAGAAAAATACTATGGGGCAGTTCTCCTCTGCCACTTGAATTCACTGTAAGTTTGAATAGACTCAATGGCACCTAGTAAGAATACAGCTGTAGGAAGGAAGGAAGAAATGCTTTGGCAGAACCTAGTATACTGAAAGGAAAAGTGTGTTACAAAGAAAACATTGGGACAAAACTCCTCTCCGGAAAAGAATAAAATTATCCAAGGTTGTTTTGAGGGATTACACTTGAATAAAGAAAAGTGTGGTACAGACCAACAGGATTGTTCCTCACTGGGTTAATCATTGATTGCACCATCTCAAAATGAAGCTTTTCTCAGTGCAGTGTAAGAACAATTTGTAATAAGGGGGAAAAAGAGTAGCTTTTGTCTTCATCTTATCTCAAAAGTATACTACTTAGAGAACAAGACGGTATACTCCTGAAGAAGTATGAGCTGCAGTTGCTCAAAGATGCATTTGTGTTATTACAGTTGTATTCACAATGTATCTGAGCTGCTGCCTTACTTATCTGTCTCCAAGAACAAACTGTGCCTGAATCAAGGGCAGGCTCCCCTGTTTTATTTATCATCACACCCTAGCATCTAGTAGTGCCAGATGAGTAGCAGACGATTACCAACAGGAAAAGGAGACAGACGAGGATCTTAATCCCTTAAGAGCACAATCTGTTTCTCATATTGAGGAAAGCACTGATACCAACATGCACATACACTTTGTTTTATAATACACTGTGTAACACTGTAAATGAAAAAGGAGAAAATGAATAGATGTGGCTAAGGCCAGTCAACAGCTATTCAGCTTTTCTTGGGTCACTCAGTTCAGACACAAAAGCTTTTGTGTTCATTTAATTAGTCATGTGTGACCAGGTTACTAGAGCAACTCTCCTAACTACTTACCATAAAACTAGCAGAAATGAACAAATAGATGGTTTCTTAGGATCTCTGTCATTTCAAGACACTGTTTCTCGGTCACTGATGATGAAAGTCAGATGCCAGATAGCTGTATTAACTTGTGTGAGGCACATACATACATAAAAGATTAAAACAACTAGAGCAACATCCTCAGTGGCTTGGATTAGGCTGGATTCCAATCTTGACTCAGCTACTATTATTTAGTGTACAATTTTGGGCAATTTATATGTTCAGTAACTTTAGAAAGCTCTGGTGGCCTAGTGGGTAAGGAGTTGCACTGCCAACTCCAAGACAGGAGGTACAAATCTACCAGTTGCTCTGAAGGAGAAAGATGGGCAATCTTTTCCAGGGCAACTTACAGCCTCTGAAAACCCACTGGAGGGTCAGCTATGAGTTGGTTCTGGCATGGCAGTAATGACTGTTGCTCTGCTTTGGTTGTCCCAAGAACTTAATGTTGTTGTTATTGTTAAGTACCATCAAGTCACTTGTGACTCATAGCAACTCTATGTACTACAGGTCTGAACCCTGCTCTATTCTGTGCCAACTTCACTGTGTCCAACACACCCACCCCCATTACCCTAGTCATTGAGTCAATCCATCACACACATCCAGGGTCTTCCTCTCTAGTGCTGTCCCTCTCCAAGGACTGGTCCAAATTCAAGAGAATGAGTTATTAAAGCAAAGCATTTAGAAACAAAGATTGGCACATTAATTGCATGCTTTAGGTATTGGTATTGTTTTCATTCTCTGCACACAAAACAGAGCTGGATTCAAGTTCTTCTAGTCCCAAGTCTGTAAGTCCGCTTGGGAGGAAAAGTTGCACGAGGCACAAGCATATATAAAAGAATATGAAGTAAATATTCATTTCTTTCTGGTGGCCTCCTGGTAAGGAGTTGCACTGCCAAACTGAAGGCATGTGGTCTGGATCCACCAAGTGTTATGCAGGAGAATATTTCCTGCCTCTGTAAACACACTGGACAGTCTGTCTGCTATGGGTCAGGTCTGACTCGATGAGAACACAATAACCATCAATAAATACGGTCTGATAATTATCAAAGATCTTCCTTAAAGTTGGTTTCCTTTCTATATACCCATAGCTGATTGATTCTGGGTTATAGGGCAAGAGCAAAGTGTCTGAAGCAGTGACACATATTCTACCATAGAGGGAACATTAATATTTAGAGGCAATGATATTGCCTCTAAACTTTTTCCAACACAGCAGCTCAGTTATAAACCATGCAGACGTGATAGCACGTTCAACTTCCAAAGAACTTTGTGGATCGTCTGCTCTGAGTCTCTTGTTCTGTAAATGAGAAAAACGAGCCAGCACAGGGTGGAGATTAAGTGACTTGCCCAAATCACATGATGGTACTAGAGGCACGGTTAAAGGCAGCAGCTCTCTTGAATTGCTCATTCCTTCTTTTTTCTTGTTCTTCACAGCTGAGGACACCTTTTCAGACATTTAGAAACAATGTATATTCATTCCAGCAAAGGCTGAACATTTCAAATGTGATTTATCAGGGAGACTCAGAAAGTGCCACCTCCCTAATGTGGCTGGGCTACCTCCAAGCTTCACCAGGAAGGCAAAGGATCTCTGCATCTCAGTTTCCCAACTATGAAAAACTACGAAACAAACAAAACATCCTCTTCACAGAGATTGCTAAAAATGTCATACTTAGTATCTTTACATGTCACACAACAGGTGAGAAAATGAATAAAATGCTTTCTACTAAGGTCTCTGGTCATCTAATGAGAAAGTCCCAGAAGGCTAAAACGATAAAAAAGAAGCTTTTGAAAATGTCAATCAAACTATTAGATGTGAATTTGGCCCCTACCAAAAAAAAAAAAAAAGGGGGGGGTAGAGTGAGGAGTGGAATTATAGTTAGTTTAATATGAGCTGTCTCCTTCCATAAAGACTTATAGCCCCAGAAAGCTGACAGATGGTCGTTGTGCCTTAGAACCTGCTCTATGACATCCAGTGATTTCTGAGTATTTGCCTTCACCTGGAGCTGGGTGGGTCAGTTCATCAAAAATCACAGGGGAGGAGGTTACTTCACTCAAGGGATCATGTGTATCAAACTGGAAAAAGAGGGGAAACTCCGAATGCAAAGCAGGTCAATGCCATTCTAATTTTTCAGAGTTAAGGTAACAGTGGGGGCAGGAAGGGGGAGGAGATTTTTTAAAATGACCCAAGGCTAAGAACCAGGAGGATAGGTGTGAAGCTAGGGAAATGTTAAATGAAAGAGAACAGAGTTCCTGGAGTAAAGATGCAGTTATGAACTAAAATAATTTGACAGTCCTCTGCTATATTTACACACCAGCTATTATCTGTAGAGCTCAAAGGACTTGACTTCCCTCTCAGACGTGCTAATGATGTTCCCCCCTGTGTGAAAAGTAGGACAGGCACAGACATTTTCTTTTCACATCTGGGAAAACAGCTCCAAAGGGAGCCTGGTGGTACCTCTGGGAAGGAGATGCAGGTTCTCTGCTTCCTGTTCTGCCTCTCCTCAACATTTGTAGCAGCAATAATAGTAAACACGACTGCCTTCTTACTGGGAACCAGATATTGTCCACTAATAGCTTTAGCATTGTCTTACTGCTCCAACAATCCACACCAGACCTGAAGGCAAAATGGTGAAGCGCTCGCCTGCAAACCAAAATGCTGCCAGTTCAAAACTCATTCAGTCATCAGCAGGAGAAAGATGTGGCAGTCGACTTCCTAAAGCTTTGCTACCTTGGAAACCCTCTGGGGCAATTCTACTTGGTCCTCCTGAATCTTGATCGCTATAAATTGCAATCAAATGCCTGGCAGTATGTTAGGGTTTGGACCAACTTCCTGAGGCAGGTACAAATTATTATTTTCATTTTCCAGATGGCAAAACAGAGGTTCCAAAAAAGTTTAGATATTTGCCCAGGGAAAGGGTTGGATCTGCAGCCTGAGTCTCAGCTGCATGGGTCAGAGTCCTGACCCCATGATCCCCGCTGGAGGTCCCGAGGCTTTTCGGGGTTCCCCAGCTCTCTCTGGGGGATGCCCACACCCAGCCTCCGGGATCCCCTTGCAGGCACCCCGAGAGGTGGAAAGAGGGGCGCGGCCTTTACCCGGGGGATGGTGGGGCCTCCAGGTTCTCACCCCCGCGGGCGAGGGAGGCCAGGGCTGCGAGAGGTACCTGGGGGCTGTCCTGCAACGCCTCCTCTAGCAGGAGCTTGTCCACGGCGGGCATGATGCTGCACGGCCTGGCCGAGGGGCGGATGGAGCAGGGGGGCGGTGGAGCTGGAGGGCGGATGGAGCCGGGGGGCAGATGGTGGCTGGAGGGCGGGCGGTGCTGCCCCCGAGGGTGCTCCGGCCTGAAGCGACGAGGCGGACGCTCGGTGCCCACAGCAGCCTCGCGCGCGCCCACGCCTGGCCAGCCTGCACCGCCCGCCCTCCGGCCGGCCCCCTCCGAGCCCTGCCCCGGCCGAGCCCGATCAACAGGAAGTGTGGCGAGCGAGCGGCCGGGACACCGGAAGTGTGGCGAGCGCTAGGCCGGGAACACCGGAAGTGCGGCTGCCCTGCTTCCGGCCGTCCGGCGTCTGGGCGGGAACTGCGGGGCTCTCAGGCCCTGCTCCCTGCTCAGTAGGTGCTTGAAGTGTCCACCTCCTGATAAAAGGCCTGCAGTATTTTATTCCGGTCAGTGCATACAAACTCCAAGAAGGTTCACACCACAGTAAAATGATAAGGGTTTTTTCTTTTTTTTAATTATTAATTTTAATGAAAATTTAGAGATTTTGGATTTCCATTCATTGTTGCACTTTTCTCCCTGCCCACCCCTCCCCTCCAGTTCGTTCTTATCTTTGAAAAGTAAAAGAAAAAAATATATTTCATTGTTATACCATCCCTCCCCCACATCCACTCCACTGTGCAGCCTTCTTCTGGACTCCTGTCATGACGAGCAATGGTGTCTCCCTGGAGACTAAGGTGCATCTGACACAGGCCATGGTCTTTGCAATCACTTGTTATGCACCAGAGAGTTGGACAGTGACAAGGAGGATAGAAGGAGAATTGATGCCTTTGAGCTGGTGCTGGAGAAGAGTATTGAGGGTACCATGGACTGCTAGGAAAACAAACAGATTCATCCTGGAAAGGGTCAAATCGGGCTGCTCCTTGGAGGCAAGGATTCTGAGGCTCCATCTAACATACTTTGGACATGTAAGGAGGGACCGGTCCTTGGAGAGGGACATCATGCTTGGTAGAGTGGAGGGACAGCACAGGAGGGGAAGACCCTCTATGAGGCGGATTGATCCAGTGACTGGGGTAATCGGGATGGGTGTGTCAGAGGCAGTGCAATTGGCACAGGACAGAGCAGAGTTTAGGGCTGTTGTACATAGGGTCGCTATGAGTCACAAGCAACTCTATGGCACATAACAACAACAACAACATATCCCTTTTAAATGGTTCTCTTATCTGTTTCAATGGAGTATACATAATTTATCCCATCTTTCTCAGTCTATCCCCATGTGTTGCTAACTAGGAAGCCTTTTCAATCAAAAGAGTTAACAAAAAAGATTTTTGCACCAGAAGAGACTCGTCCCTGACTAATAATATTAATTGTTTATACAGCTAATATATTTTACTTGGATCCACAAAGCTACATCATGGTAACAGTAGTCAAGAAATCAAAAGGTGCATTTTATTGGAAAACTCTACAGTCAAGGATCTTTCTGAATAGCTAAAGAGCAAGTTTATCAGGTTAAAGACTAAGGTGCACTTGATCCAAACTATGCTTTCTTCAATTGCTTCTTATGCATGTGAAAGTTGGACAATGAATAAATATGAAAGGAGAAAAAAAGAATGCATTTGAATTGTGATATTGGAGAAGAGTACTTAATATCCTGTGGACTACCAAAATAACAAACAAATTTGTCTTAGAATAAGTTCAATCACGGTGTTCTTTAGATGTAAGGATGATAAAAATTTGTCTCACATGCTTGGGGATTTTGTTATGAAGGATCAGTCCTTGGAAATAGATATCATGCTGAAAAAGCAGAAAGGTCAGAGAGAGAGGAGAAGACCTCCTATCAAGATGGATTGAGTAAGTGACTGTAACAATGAGCTCAAGCATATTAGAGATAGTAAGGATGGTGGAAAATAGCAAAAGATTCAGATCTCTTGTTTATATGGTCCCTGTGAGTTGAAGTTGACTCAATGAGACCTAACAACAATAGAACAAGTAAAAATTGAGTTGTTGTTTTTTTTTAAAGATTATTGTAGTTAACTCTCTTGCCACTTTTTTTATGTAAGCAAACCTTCACCCATTTTCTTGACAAATCTTAATGCCTGAAGATTGTGGGAACAAAGGTCATTTTGATCTAAGCTGTTGTTGTTATGTACCATAGGGTCAGAAATGACCCATAGCTGACCATCCAGTCATGGGAGGGGATTGGCCACTCCATCCCTGCATAACAAGTTATCCATGATATGCAAAAGTAACCATTTGGGAAAGCACAGCTATTTGGGCTGGGAAGTAAAATTAGGTCTTGTCATTCTGATTATAGAGTTCTGGTGACCTATTGGTAAGAAGCTGTGCCGCAATTCCAAAGTCACACAGTCCAAATCCACCAGCTGCTCCATGGGAGAAGGAGGGGCAATCACTTATGTCATTTACTGCCTTTGAACATCAGATTGCGACTCAACAGCACACAACAGCGTCAGCATTATGATTCCTTTTATATTGTAATTTTGAGGACTTTCACAATGAAATGTTTTGAATTGAAATGGATAAACAATTTAATGCTATCATTTAACTAGAAAACCTTCACAACTATGGAGTCATGGTGACCACCCATTGGGTTTCAAAGGCTCTAAATCTTCAAGGGAGAAGACTGCTCATCTTTGTCCCTCGATGTTTTAAACCACCAAATATGCTTAGGAGGAAGTGCTATCAGGGTTCTCCTAAGATGCAAGGATGGTAAAACTCCATCTCACATACTTTGGGCATGTTGTTAGACCAGTCCTTGGAAAAAGACATCTAGTCTGGAATAGTGGAGGGTCAGCAAAAGAGTAGAAGGCCCTCAATGAGATGGATTGACACAGTGAATATCAAATAGCTCAAATATGTCAGAGAAAATGAGGATGGTACATGATAGGGAAAGATTCAGATACATTGTTCATAGGGTCCCTATGAGTTGTACTCAACAACACCTAACAACAACAACAACCTGCTTGACCTTTTAGGGAGCTCTGGTGGCCTAATAGTTAAGCAGTTGTGCTGCTAATCCAAAGGTGGTGGTGGTTGTTATGTGCCGTTGAGTAGCTTGCAACTCATAGCAACCGTATGTGTAATAGCTCTGAACCCTGCTCTATCCTGAGCCAATGTCAGTGTCTGTCGAGATCCAGTTAACAACCCAGGCAATTGTCTCCTGAGACTTACAGTTGCTTAAAAATCACTGGAGGATCAGCTATAGCAAGCTTGGTCAGAAGCAACTCGCTAGAGACAATGCCAACAAAACTCCTTAGTGCTGTCATTTGTTGTTGCATGCTCTTGAGTATAACTCACAGCAACCTTAAGAACAACAGACCTAAACCCTGTCCTTCTTTGTGCCTGTCCTGTGCTGTCTGCACTATTTCTGACACACTTGAGCCCATTGTTGCAATCATTGTGTCAGTTCATCCGGTTGAACATCTTCCTGTCTTTCTGTGACTCTCCATCTTCCCAAGCATGATGTCCCTCTCTAAGAAATAACCTCTCCTAGCAACATACCCACAGTATGTGAGATGAAGCTTTGCCCTCTTTGCCTCTGAGGAGCGCTCTGGCTGCACTTTCTCGAAGACATATATGTGGGAAGCCAAATATTAAGTTACATTTTAAACAAAATGTTTAATCAGGAATTGAGGGAAGCACAAATACAAGCTGGAATTCCTCTTGTGACAGATCACCAGAAATGAGTTGCTTCTTGCAGACAAGAAGCAGCTAGGGCTCCTTGCAGAGGGAGTATGAAGAGTCTGTACTTGTGAACTACTTGCTTCCTGAGATAAGCATAAGGTTGTGAGTAGAAAGATCCTAGCTTCATTTGCATAGAATTCTCCTTGTGATTTGCTCCCTGGTCATTTTCAATAAAGTTACAGAAAAACTATGTTCAGGGCTTCAGTCTTGGAGCTGTCCACCCCTGCCTTTATGCTCTCTGTTCTTTCCATTCTTGGTCTCCCTGTCTCACTATTTTTCTTAGTCCCAGATGATAATATATATCTGTTTTTAAGGCAGTCCGTGGGATATTAGGACTCTTCCTCAACACCACAGCTGAGAAGCATCAATTCTTTTTCTGTCACCTTTATTCATTGTCCAGTTCTCAGATGCATAGCAAATGATCGAAAATGTCATAGCCTACAAGCTTCACCATCCTTGCCTCTAAGGAGCACTCTTACTGCACATTCTCTAAGACCTATCTATTTGTTGTTATAGCAGTCCATGGGATGGATATTCAGGACACTTCTCCAATACCACAGCTCAAACGCTTTAATTCTTCTGTCATTCTTATTTATTGTCTTCAGATACATAGCAGGGATTGAAAAGACCACGGCCCAAATCAGACATGCCTTAGTATTTAAACTAACATCATTACTCTTCTGTAATTTGGAGACTTTCCCAATGCAATATATTTTTTTATTTCTTGAGTGCTGGTACTAAGGGTGATGATTGTGGATTCGAGTAAGATCAAATCACTGACAATTTAAATTTCAAGGAATTGAGACTTACAGAATTAATTGCTTGTTTAGAATGAAACCATTAATGAAAGCTAGAGGAAGGGAAGGAGAACCATCAAGTTGACAGTAGAACTTGACATGTTTTTAGGTCATAAACAAGTGTTTGAAAAGTTTCTTAAGGAGTCATATTTGTCCAGAGTCCCATGATGGTGCATTTATGAGATCAGCTATTTTCTACATGTAGATTTTACTCTTTCTTTAAGTAATAAGGCTTTTTGAGATAATTTAAGGAACCCAGGCAGTGTAGTGCATAACAAAAGGTTAGCAGTTCAAAACCACTGGCCTTTCTGAGGAAAAAGATGGGCAATCTCAGAAACCCAGTGGAGGGTCTTTGGGAGTGGAGCGCCAAATGAGGACAATGGGTGGATGGCTCATTTACTCTGGATATTGTGGCACATAATAACAATGAATGGTTTTCTATTCATGACATTCCTTTCCCAAGTGTTCTAATTATTGAAAAGAAATTTTCAACATACCTTCTTG